CTCATTGTAATTAGATTTTTTTTTCCGCGAGAAATCTATCCATCTTGGAAGAATGAATGATCCACCCACTGAGTGGAGTTCAAACGTTGGCCTTTCCTAAAATTTTTTTAAGCTATAAAACGTTTATTATAGCGCTTTTGACAACGCTGCGGTAAGATTATATAACACTAAAATTATGCAATCAAAAGTAGATTTTATATAACATTTGCCATAGCATGAAAAAAACGTGTATCGCCTACCACCGCGTCTTAAAAACGTTATGAAAAGTCTACGATAGCGTTTTTTCGACTCTATCATATATGATTTTTGTAGGAGCGATGATTGAAGAAATAAATTCTTTTATGTGTTAAGGATCCCACATTGATAAAAGAAGAGACTTAACAATGGTTTATAATAGACATGGGCTACTCCTCTCATTGTTAATTGGTTTTGAGATGGAACATGGTTACTCCTGGGATATCAAACGTTTTTTTATCGGTTTAAATCCGCTTTGTTTTTTGTTTCATCCAAAAGGTCTCATACCAAATAACCAATGTGGAACTTTTTTTTTTACCAAAAGAACCTTTTGATTGGCACCCAAGAATTTCACTGATGGTAATCCAAGTATCCACAATATATGATAGACATAACCCTCGCGACTTTACTTTTAGTTTCACCTAAAAGTCTTCAAACCAACGAAGATAATTGTTCGCTCCTATATATCATGGATGAATCTATCAATGTGAGACTATGTACTCACTTACAAACCCACCCGATAGAATTCTCACCCCACTTAATCAGAATATATATATATATGTATATGTCTATATGGAGTGAGAATTTGGAATATGGTGTGCAAAAAGTTACTTTATATCTTAACGGATACATTAAATAAAATAAAATAACAAACCATATTATTTAAGAAGCTTACACGATGGAAGTCGATTAGTCGACTGCCAAATCATTCATTTCCAAGTATAAAAAAACCAAAAATGTCACCTATCACAATCATACTAAATCGACAAAAGTTAAAAATGAAGCACAAATTAAAGTACATAAACATAACTAATTATACTTCAATAAGATTTAAAGATTAAATAAATATAACAGTTAAATTACATGGATAAAATATAAAATAGAGGTGGAACGTGGAAGAGGGTGTGAAAGTGAGAGCGACATTAATGAAAATAAAACATCGCCCTACGCCTAGCTGTAATTTCTAAAACTATATAAATAAATCGGTACCATGTCTTAATCATATTGTCAATAATTATATTATAAAGTTTTTTTTCTAAAAAATATAGAAATAAGAAAAAATATTTGACATAAAAGAAAAAGTAGTAGGGCCAATGGGAAAGGCACAGAAAGGAATAGGATGGCTACGTCAGCAGCGGGGATTAGTAAGCTTAAGAAAGATTAGATTCTAAAATTAAAATTAATTAAGAAAGAATAATCCCAATTATTGATTGTGCCGACTGGCAGATGGCGATACTTTGATTGCACCACGCCACCACCACGTAGCTGGCCACGTGTGTCGCCCATCTTTTCAATCCCCCCACGGGTCCCACCTTCTTCCTTTTTCTAAGAAATATATTTTTACTTAATTCCTCCTCCTATTTTAAAAAATTTTTAAAGTATTTTAAAATTTTTGTTTATTCTTACGGTTTGGTATTCTATCTTTCTGTTTTTACGGGTTTTTTTTAATTCGTTAAATTCAGTAAATATCTGTTATGTAGATTTATTTTTTAAAATTATTTTGGATTCTCTCATCTTAATAAAAATTCTAAAAACAACATTTCTATATTTTCATTATTTCAGATTTTGAATTTAAAGCTGTGAGAGTAAAGAATTACATTAAAACCAATATATAAAATTTTAATTTTTGACAAAATTACTACTTCATTTGAGTTAAAATAAAATGTAAAATATAATATGGTATAAATTATATAATAATATAAAATAATAATTTTACAAAATTTATAATAGATGTGTTAATAAATTAATTAATATTATTTTCAGTTAAAATAAATATTTAGTTCGTAATTATTACTAATTTACAAATATATTACATAATACTTCGAACAATTTTTCAAATTGAGATTCAATTTCTACATTACTATTAAATACATATTCAAAACCATTGAAATATAACTTTGTTTTTTCTACTGTATCCTATGTTTTCTAAATCTGATAAGGTATATCAATTTTTCTTCATCAAATTGAATCCTAATTTCAGACGTGTTGCAATTTTTATCTTCTATTCAAATTTCCTCTCTAATTTCAGTGAATGTCAAATCATGCACAAATTAGACTGGTTATATGCACAAAATAAACCCTAGAATAAATCTCTAACAGAAAAAAAAAAGGAAAAAATCACAACACATCAACCATGGAATAAATATCCAACAAAAATAATCACAAATTTCAACAAACCAATAAATTTCTTTTAACAATTCTTAAAATATATTTTTTATT